ATTCATGGTCTATTCTCATGTGTGTCACTCATTCAGAGTTGATACCATTTATATAAAATTAAATGGTTATACGGAGTATTTTATTAACATCAATTCGTATTCAAATTGTAAAGCCAACAGTAGAATTAATTGATTTGATTGAATCTATTCAAATTTATGAAACTTTTTTTCATGAGAATGATGAAATTCTTTTTGTTAAAAGACTTTATTTCAATTTTACCTCCGTGTCATAAAAAGTTTTGTTAAAAGAATTTATTTCAATTTTATTTTTTCATTAGCATCACTTGTTTTTATCTTAGATTGAGTAGGTTTGATCTGGAAATTTGGACCTCTTGAGTACGTTTGATGGACAATATTTCAGTTTCGATTGTTTTAGCCTTAAAATTGTTCGTTTCGTGTCTAGCGAATTGAGTTGTTTTATAGGGCTCACAGTCGGATTTGTCATAATTATCTTGTATCCTTTATATTAAAAAAAGAAAGAAAGTAAAAGTGTATAATCATGATCATCATCCAGAAATAGATAAAAACATTAATTGATCACTCAAACAAAATTAGAAATTAATTTCAAGGAAAGTGACAACAAATAAGGTAGGAGCCGTAATTTTTAGTGGTGAGCCCATTGGCAGCTGACGCTGGGCCCTTGGTAATTACTGCCGTAGTGCTTAAGAATTTTTGTTTAGAAGAATTTGAAAGTCGTCCTCTTATGTTATTGACTAATGTTCGATGAATTGCTTGAACAAAATCAAATCGACAAAAGTGGAGCGAAAAGAAAAAGTGCTTTGTACTTGATCGTATTATTATTATTATTATCGATTAATAATGGTTTTATTTTATATTTCCTCCGGTCCTAAATAAATTTCATATTTTCTATTTTGGGTAGGTCTAAAATAAACTTCACACTTCTTCTCTCTTCCTTATTTGGCAAATTATCTAAATCAAAACAGTGCAAAACAGTGCCAAACAGTGTTAAACAGTGTCAAACAGTATCAAACAGTGTCAAACAGTGTCACAACAATGTACTCTACAGTAAGTCAAATTTATTTCCTTAATTTGTGTGAAGTCAAAGTGTGAAGTTTATTTAGGACCGGAGGGAGTACAATGTAATTGCAATGATTTGGGAACTTATTGGACCCGGTGAAAATATGAGATACATTTAACTCATTGGAGCCATCTTTGCTCTTCTCTCAAATATTGAAATGATATTATTTGTTTCTATATACATGCTGGGTTTTTTGTCTTCGTTTTTTTGTTTGTATATTTTATATGCGGTACAAGCAAAAACATTGCCTATTCACATAAAAAAACTTGACATGTGCATAAGATGTTTATAAATCAGCGTGTGCAACAACAAGTTTGATATTTAAAAGCCATTTCATAATGGTGAAGTTTGTCGAATCAGCTCAAATTAATTAAATTTTGATTAGAGCAAATGAATAGGCTAAATCTGTTGAATTATGAAATATTATATTTAAAATATAATTTAGTAATACGTATAAGAATACAAGAATCAGCAGATCTAGTACACTTTAAAGTGAACATCTTTGATAACTTCATCCAATTTAGTCATAAACGAATTTTAATCTTACTTTTATTTTAATGAAAAACACTCATTTATTAATTATAATGAAAGTAAACATAGATAAAACAAGGCAATAGTTCAGAGTAATCCTGAAGTGAGACATAGAACTGACTAGCCCCAGAAGATCATGTCAGATCGATAACTCCGCACAATGGCAGACTATTCTAACAGCATCACTCTACTTGCTACTAAGATAAAAGTATAAAAAACTAGAGTTCGATCAAAAGCTGGAAGGAAACAAAAGGATCACAAGTCCTGATTACCAGCCACAAGCAAGGAAAAAGAGGTTTGATCTACAACCTCCAAAGATGTCGTTCCGATTTGACCAGCCATCGGGAACGGAGAAGACGTTTGTCTAGCCATCTCCAAGGGAATACTCCCACTTGCAGCAATTAATGGAATTCCAGGCGGTGCTAATTCAGTAGCACCACTGCAGCGTCGGTTTCTGTTCTGGTCACATCTACCTCCATATTGACTTCAACCTCAGGTTCTCCAAATCCACTCCTACGTTTACTGGATTTTCCTTCCTCTAGAATTCTCTCATGATTTTGCTCTTCTTCCGCTCCCACTTTCTCTTTCCCTCTTGAGAGCAGCCCTGTACCAAATTACAACCCCCATCTGCTCCCCTTTCTTGGCATCCTACTAGCTAACTCTGTCTGCCACGTACTTCCATTGTGCTCTTCAGCTCACGCCATGTGTTTAAGATTAGCCATTTATTCCGTGGGTGGGTTCCTCCCCACCTCAAGTTTGCCCTTATCCAATGGCCATAAGGCTTATCGCCCATCCATGGTCCCACACTTATGTTTGATGGGCAGTATTTTTCATTATGTCCGAGAACTCCACAAATAAAGCAAAGATTTAGAATCCTCTCATATTTACAGTACGCCCAAAACCAACTATCCCCTTTTTCCCTAGTCTGAGTTCTTGTCTTCAGAACATTTCTTAGATCTATCAACAAACGTATTCGAACAAAATCTTTACGTTTCCCCTTCAAGGTTCTTTTATCGATTCATATCAGGTTCCCTATGTATCGATCCATACCAATCGCCATTGTCTTAGTCGTAAAGTCGAGAGGTAAATTATGAATCTGCACCCAGAATTCCGCATGGTTCAACTCAACCTCAAGCACTTAAACAGTATATCCTTTGCTTCCACCGGCTAATAACAACTAAATTTTGGTCATTAGATAACAACCCATCCTGCAGAACTCATGATATATCGTTCTTATGAAAAAACTGAATCATAAAACACATTTCTCCTATCTGTTCGATACTAACCCCTTTACTCGGGTGCTAGATTATTGCCATATTCTCGAGTAAAGGGGTGAGTATCGAACAAATAGGAGAATGTAGGACAAAGAGGTAGGAGACGGGAGAGAACTCGCGCTTCTTCCTCATCAATCGACATCTTCCCATATTCTTCAGCTATTTTCTTGATTGGCCAAAGTAAAATTGCACAAGCAAGACTAACAACGCTCACGTTTACAGCAGAAACGCAAACAACCCGTGGCTAGAGATGCACCTCAACTGGATGCCAAAGCAAAACGAAAAAAACAGTCTGAAGAGAAAACTACTGAACCAAACTTGTACCTGGGATCACTGTCTTGCCGCTAGTCTTCTTCGCACGACTCCCATGGCCTAAACGCTCACGATCGGACAGTTGCTTCTCAAGTATCGGCGGCGATGGCTTCTTGCTAGGGTTCACATCAATTCTAACCTTACTTATATTGACTATTTACAATTTAACATGCGAAACAAAAATTACATATTTGGTAACAAGTTGGCCGGTAATAAATTTTTGCAATTTATAAATTTTAGAAATTTTTGGACAATGAAATCGAACTTTGACCGGTGAATAAATTTATATTACATATGTCGCATTGGACATCAACAATTTTGAATTAGGTGAGAAATAATAAACCTAAAAATTAAAATTGTGTGATTGATATTTGTATAGAGGAAAGAGAAACGAACAAAATCAAAAATTAATTACAAAAAAATATACTCCCTCAGTCCCAAATTGTAAGATACATTTAGTATTTACTCGGTCACCATAAATTACTCTGAATCTTTTACTTTATACATCAAAAGTTTATGAAATTTAAATTATTTTTTGCAGGTTTTGTAGCGGTTTTAATGTAATTTCTGAATATATAAATTTTATTTTCTAAAATTAATTTTAGTGTTGACAGGGATCAATTTGCTTTATCGTCAATCAAACATCTTAAACCGTAAAATATCTTACAAATTGGGACGGATGGAGTAAAAAAATTGTCTATTATGGCTATCTAAAGGGCGGGCTTTCCAAAAAGATAAATGCCCTAGGATATGATAAAAAATCGATAAAGTTTTTGAATAAATTTCATTCATTTTTTAGTTGTCCCAATATCAATGACTTTTTCTTTTTTTGAAAAGAATTTAATGATTTACAACATTTCTATTCAATTTCTCTGTCATCTACGTCATTTTAAGCCACACAATTTTTACATTTATCATCTCTGTACAAGGTCAAAACATGAGTTCAATATGGCATGGAACAAAATTTGTAACGGTCATACAAATAAAGTCCGCATTAATCAATATTAGGTGAATGATACAATATTATAAAAAAGTGCGAAGATTGTAACTTTCATGCATTTAATTGGTCCAAATTTCATGTAAAAGTGGGTTTTCCAAAAAATTATTCACTTAATATGATACGATTATATAATACTCTCTCCGTCTTCCTATAATTGTCTCATTTTTTCTATTTTTGAATATCTCTCTATTATTGTCTCATACCACATTTGATAATATTTGTGTGACTCTAATTCGTTATTACTTTATTCTTATTTTATCAACTCATTATTTAACATATAATTTCACTTTTTTAAAAAAATCACACCACTCTCTCATCTCAATATTAGGAGGCAGACGTACTATTAGTTTTTTTTGTAAAATAAAAGAGCGGTAGAAATGAGGTACAATTTTGGGGTACCTTTAGATTCTATGGTACTCTTAAGATACCATACATTTGTCAACATGGACCAATCAAAATGTTGCAGTTGAATTATTTAAATCTAAATTTAAAATGATATAATGATTTGGATCAATCAAGTGATTGATAGGTTTGGTACCCCAATTTTTAAATGGGTAATGAGTACTCCTTCCGGTTCTTATTAAAGTTTCCACTTTCCTTTTTGGGATGTCCCTTATTTAAGTTCACACTTCCAATTTAGGAAACAAAACAATGCAAAATAGTGTCAAACAGTACCAAAAAGTGTCCAAACAGTGTCAAACAGTGCACTCCAGCGTAAAGTCAAATTCATTTTCTTAATACGCGTGAAGTCAAACTGGGAACTTTAATAAGAACGAGAGGGAGTACTTGTTACCGAATAAAAAACAGGAGTACAGTGTAAAAGAGGAATGATAAAAGCTTTTGAGTCACCGTGTGCCGGTCTGTCACGAAACCCGTCTTGGACTCTTGTCCATACTTCTTTCAAGTGTTTCAACCAGTCGAGCAGCGAAGTACACATGGAGCAGCAATTGGCCCGCCTGCCCAATCTGAAGGCCGACTTTCGTGTGTTTGCTTTTGTATTCTTCTTCGTTTCCGCCTATGCTCAGATATCGATTCCGGCGAAGCAAATGGGGTTCTGGTACGAGCATAGAGCCGCCGGAGTTGATTCAGTACTGATCGAGGCGTTCATGGATCCGGTCTGCCCGGATAGCCGAGACTCGTGGCCCCCACTCAAACAAGCCCTCCAACACTACGGTTCTCGCACCTCTCTTGCTGTCCACCCCTTCCCTTTGCCGTCTGTTCTTCTTCTTCTTATATCTTTTTCCTTTTTCAATAATTCGATATGATCGATCCATCTCCTTTTATAGATCTACAATTATTTAGATTTGTCAGTGGTGTTTTTTTTTATGCCAGACCTACTTCATTATGGTTAGAATTGAGCTGTTACCTAATTTAAGGTTTTAATTTTCAGTCTGCACTTCGTATATACAATCAAGTCCAATATAATATCATACCAGGCAGAAGCTTTTAAAAACGCTCCAGAGATAATCCCAATCACCATTGAACAACTTTACGATATGCAAGTGTTGTCATTTGTGATATTAATATGAGATGTGTAATCATAACCTGCGATGTCATTTATAAAAATGATATCTTTCTCAAATGGACTATGCATAGTTGCATATAGAGCTTGAGGTTGAAGCTTCAATCCTTTAATGAACCATTGAATGATTTGCCATGGCTAATAGTCTGTTTAGATAGAGTGTTAAGAGGTCTCACTAATGATTTGCCATGGGAGAAAAGTTATAAAAAAATAGAGTTGTTAATAAGTGCTTGAGGGTGTTAATCATTAAAAATGGAAGTATTTTGAAGTTTATCACTTTTTAAGACCCCAATTTGGGGTGTAATGAAGTGTGGACAACCTTTGCCCTTCTTATTTCAAAAATAGATTAAGATGCCCTACGTTTTCCTGATTTCTTGCACGTTCCAATTGATAGGTACACAGAAATCTGGCGATGAATTGTTGATTTTGAAAACTGAAATTGAAGAAATTGAAAGTAAGATGAGGCAAGCTCGAGAGTGCCTCGTCTATCCCAAGTCCCAGTCCAATCCAAATTCTGCCTACTCTCTTATTCTACTCCACTCCTATTTATAATAAATTCCCTTATGGGCCCGTCCAACCTAACTAGTACCTAGCCCAAAACCCTTATTTATACAATATCACACTCCTTAGTATAATTCTACTATTATTATTATTATTGGAGGTCCATGTCCCATTGTCCCTATAATATCTCCCCCCTTGAACAACCACCTTGTCCTCAAGGTGGGTGATAGGAAATAGCCTTTATCTTCAAATTCATCTTCATCTTGGCGCCTCTTCCTTCCCCGTACCTCCCAAATTTTTGGACTTTCTTCCTGCATCTTCATGTTCTTCACTGCAAGGAGCAGTAACAAGGTCCTGGAGGCAGAATGCTCTCTTATGTTACAAAAGTTTGAATCTTCCAGCATCTGTGTTTCCTGTTGTATCATTTGCCCTTGTTCCAACATCTTTTCAAGAGAATTGACCTCACTTTGGTCAAGACCTTGAACAAGCTCAAAAGCATCTGATCTGGAAGCCCCGTTAAAAAAACACCTCAACATCTTCCCAGGGATCCAACCATACTCAAAACTTTTATGAGAGCCATTGGAAAAACTCAAACCATAATTTCTGTATACTTCCATTAGCCTCTTCAATGTACATCTTGTCACTAGGAAAAATGTGTCTCTAAGTCTCTCAGCAACAAGCTTCATTTTGTCAGAGTCCTGCGGATAAGGATGAGTCTCTCCAGCAATTGCAGCAGCTTGTCTTTGTTGACGCTCATGTAAGTGAAGCACTATTATCAGACAAACAATGAGAGTAAGTATTGGAGTATTTCTTTCTTCCATTAGCGCATCCTCAATCTTGAACTCCATATTTTCTTTCTCTATGAAAGCAGTTATTGCATCAATATAGATCTGATTTCCAAGCTTGGACAATGACTTTCTGGTCAAGTCTACCAATTCATCTCTGTAAGTGAGTCTTCCCGCTGGCCCGGCTCCTCCATCAATGAATAATTTGATTGCCTTCAAGACATCCGGTAGGCTTATCAGGTCTGGTATCAAGTGATGAATCCCAGGCAGGTATTTCTACTATGAAATCCTTGTTGTGGTCAGTAATTCCGTCTCTGCAATTGTATACTGTGGGATAAAGTATCTCCCAGCAGCTTCAACTTGACCAACTCCTTGACCATATCTTCTAGTAGAGTAGGATTTCACCCATGTCTCCATATCAAAATGGTGGCTCCTGAATGCCATTTCCGGCATCAGCTCATATGCAACTGGATTATGTTCTATTCCTTCCATGCACAAGCCAACCCCAATCCTTGTTGAATTTCCACACATAAGAGTATCAATTTGCAGGTTACGCTCCATCGCAAACAGTTTTCTGAGTTGAGTAGTTGCTTCCATCTTTTGCGAAGCATGGTTTTGAGTAAAGCCGCACTCACCAGTAGCAAAACTTGTGTTCAAGACATGAACACCAGCATTCTCCTCTACCTGTATCTGCTCATCAGGGAGTACTGAACTAGAAAATACTTCAACTCCCTTTGACACTTCACTCATTGACCTAAGATTGACAATAACATTTTCAGAAGTAGCAGGATGAACTTTACCCAAAACCGAGTTGGAGGATTCCATAGAATCTCGAGGTGAATCAAAATCTAGGCGTTCAAGATAAGCATAAACTGCATCAACCTTCGTCCCAACAGGATGTTCCCGAACCTCCACCCACCTCGTGGTGGAGTTTATAGTACCTTCAGTGCCTCGTGGATTGGAACCTTCATCACTAGGGGCTCCAGAAACAACTTGCCCCAGTTTCAACAACACAACTTCAGGTGAGAATGCACCAATTCCTGCACCCTCTAGAAAAGGTTGTGACTGATCCATTATGGAATTGGGCCCAATAGGAGATCCAAAAATATCAGGCCCAACATTGATCACAGTGATATTTGATTTACACGCTAGTGCTTGAATCCTCCTCTCTGTTTTATATGTGACTTTTACCTGCTCCTCCAGTTGCCTTGACAGTTCATCCTTCACTTTACCCACATGAATTCCATTTTCATCCTCCTCAGGAGGGTTCAAACCTTCATGATGATTTGGCCGATATCTTGTAGTTTGAGTCGTATCATCATCTGGATCTGGTTTCTTGATAGATGGGTCAACCCATTTCAACTCAGAGATGATTTTCAGCGATGCAGCTCCTGACAAGGAAGTCTGAGATGAAAGCTTCGAACAAAGAGAAACAGTTTGCGATGGCAAATTGAGAACAGCCGTTCGCGATTGCGAACTGGAGACTTCAGATTGCCGCAACTCTGACGAATTAGAAGAAGTTGCTAGAAGAAACCCCTGCGAACTGGAATGATGTGTTAGCGTCGAACTCGGCAACCTATGAGAATCTGTACGCGACTGAGACGCCATCTGAGAACTGGAAGCTACTGTTCGTGTACGCGACTGAGAACTGTGAGACGAAGTTCGCGTTTGCGAACAGTGAGATGAAGTTCGCGTTTGCGAACAGTGAGATGAAGTTTGCGTTTGCGAACAGTGAGATGAAGTTCGCGAAGAAGCCAAACAACTGGACGGAAGTTCTCGCGACTGAGAAGAGACCTGCGCTCGTGAAGATGTCTGCGAACTAAGCGAAGCAGTTCGCGATATCGAACTAGGAGGAGCGACAGATGAAAACACTTGATTTTCAATTGGCCGACGGCATCTCAGAGGACTCCTCGCTCGGCCTCTAATTCTCTGGCGACCCTGTTTACGCAGATGATGTATCATCTCATCCAGCATCGTTTCCATCTTCCTGACATGGCGTTCCACACTTGCGGTATTATTCTCCATCTGCGCACATAACAGTACTCTACCCCAGCGATCGGATGCTCTGATACCAATGATAGGTACACAGAAATCTGGCGATGAATTGTTGATTTTGAAAATTGAAATTGAAGAAACTGAAAGTAAGATGAGGCAAGTTCGAGAGTGCCTCGTCTCTCCCAAGTCCCATTCCAATCCAAATTCTGCCTACCCTCTTATTTTACTCCACTCCTATTTATAATAAATAAATTCCCTTATGGGCCGGCCCAACCTAACTAGTACCTAGCCCAAAACCCTTATTTATACAATATCACACACCTTATTATTATTATTATTATTATTATTGGAGGTCCATGTCCCATTGTCCCTATCACCAATCTTGCCGCTATTGTTCTTCTTTTGTAGAACATACAGTCTTTTTCTCCGTTTGTCTTTTCGCTTCCCCCATTCTTCTTCATTTTTTTTTATAGAAAAATCCACATGTTTACGAACACTACATGTTGTTCCTTTGATTTTAAATATTGTCACTGCTCCAAGTCTCCAACTAGGACCGTTAAAGAGCCGAGCCGAGTCCAAACACCCGGAGCTCGAGTTCTGCTCATACGGTAATACTGGTGTTCGGGTTCTAGCTCAAAGCTAGGTGAGCTTTACAAACGAGGCTCGTTTTCCGGTCGATAGGCGTTCGGTATTCGAACCAAGCGGGTCAGTAAGCTCGATTATTATGCCCGAACTTAAAATTTTAGGTGATGCTCGTTAAGAAGCTTATGCTCGAATTATTCGACAAGTACTCGGTTCGTTAATAATCATATTTAATTTCATAAATTCATACTAATTACATTTAAATTTTGACATATATATTACTATTGTATAATTTATGGGTGTTCGATAGGCTCGAGCTTGAACTGATCCAAATACTACTATATTTGAGTTCAGCTCGAATAATTGTTCGGACTTAAAACTCAGCTCGTATTTGAGTTCAAAGTTCGTTAATCTTTGCTCATTAATCTTCAAACCGAGCTTGAACTCAAATAGTTCGATAAAAGCTCGGTATCTCCAATTGACTTTGGGCGTTCACTTTTTTATGGCATCAACTGACTTTGCATTGATTTATATATATATATATATATATATATATATATATATATATATATATATATATATATATATATATAGAAAATCATGTTCTTGTGAATACCCCGAGAACAGCAAAGATTTGATCTAATCACAAGACCTAAACTTCTATGTTTTTGGAATTAATAAACTAGTTTTTGGATTTAGAATCCTAAATTGGACTAGTATGTTTTTGCACGTGTGAATTGCTGAATCTCCAAGGATGGAAGATGGATCAGTGCTGCCTAAACACTATTCTGGGAATTTGGGTTTTGGGCCATTTTGTATACAATTATCAGATAAAATCATAAAAGTGAAAGAGTTGATTGTTTTATTTTTTAAAAATCAAATGTGTATTTTTCAAATATACACACTTATTAGGGGTACTTAATAATTTAAAAGTTGTTGGGATATTTTTGTCAATTTAAATGAGAAAACTTCCATTATTAACACTTCATTTTTTTAATTCTCCCAAACAATGTAAGTTTATGTTTTACACTTCCACTTACTTTCCTTTAGTGGCTTTTTAACTTTTAATTACAAGATTTCAATGAAATATAGACGCTTTATGGTGAAGGTTTGATTCTTGTTGTATCGCTTACTTCTATATATGTTTCAAATAAATACATATAGGCTAGTACATGTCATGTACATCAGTAAATGTCATGTCAGACCTAGAGCAGGCCAGGCCACAAGCCCTCACAGACAGCTTGGTCTATTCCCACCCTAGTATTAAGACATCAGTCACAAATCTTGTTTTTGTTATAAAATATACGTAGTAAAATTATAAGCTGACAAATGAAGAGTTTTGCACTGCTTCTCGCACAATTTTTTTCTTGGAATGTCATGTTGATCTTCTTTAGAATGACACCCAAAGTTTCAATAGGTCCTTTGCCATAAGAAAAGTAGGGTGTAGTTTAAGGTTGTCGTAAAGTTTGATACAACAACATCTACAACAACATCTAAGCCTTAGTCCCAAAAGATATTGGGGTCGGCTAACATGAATCGATACATGATATCACAACCAAAAGGAAAAGAAGGAAAAAAGATAAAAAGATAAGTTATTATGAAAAGATAATATAAAAAAGATGAATATATATAAAAGTGATAAAATAAAAAGGCTGCAAATAATGCATATATATATATATAAGGATAAAAAAACTAGCAAAAAAAAGATGAGGGAAAAAGATTATCAAGATCACTCCTTCACGTGAATACCCGCCCTCCACTTAGTTCTCTCCAAAGTCATGCCCTCATCCAACCCCAGAAGAAGCATATCACTTCGAACTCCCCCAACCCACGTCTATTTGGGTCTTCCTCTCCCTCTCTTCCCTGCCTCTTCTCCACACATCTCAACTCGCCTAACAGGTGCATCACTCGGTCTTCTACGCACATGACCAAACCACCGTAGGCGCGACTCCCGCATCTTGTCTTCAATAGGTGCTACTCCCACCCGTTGTCTGATTGTCTTATTCCTCACGCGGTCCTTCCTAGTATGCCCACACATCCAACGCAGCATGCGCATCTCTGCCACACTCATCTTTTGAATGTGACATTGTTTCACCGCCCAACACTCTACGCCATACCGTAATGCAGGCCTAATTGCTGTCCTATAAAATTTACCCTTCAGTCTAGTCGGCATACCTCGGTCGCATAGAAATCCTGACGCACTCTTCCACTTCATCCACCCTGTTCTGATTCTATGGGATACATCTCCCTCTAACTCACCGTCCTTCTGAATTATGGAGCCCAAGTAACGGAACATATCGCTGACTGGTATCTCCTTACCATCCAGAGTAATTCCGCTATTACCACTACTTCTACCTCCACCAAACTTGCACTCCATGTACTCTGTCTTGCTCCGACTTAGTTTGAAACCCTTATTCTCCAATGTTTGTCGCCATACTTCCAACTTTGCTTTAAGACCTGATTGCGTCTCATCAATCAAGTTAATAGTTATGGGTTATTATTTTCTTTTGATGTCTTAAAGTTAAAACGACTCTGCTTTTATGTTTTTTTATAGTAAAAAATAAAATTCTCTGTTATTCATCGGTCGCAGTTAAAGTCTGTTCAAACTTTGATGATAAGATTTTGCACTTGATTTATTTGCTTAATTTCTCCGAAATGCAGTTACCATGACAACTCGTTTCTTTGCTCCAGAGCTTTGCATATTGTCAATAATTTAAATGGTTCTGCAACATACAGTTTATTGGAACATTTCTTTGAACATCAGGTATGAAGTGAACACTTCTGTTCCAACACTTATGACTATATCTTTAGTTATTGATTGCTGGATCAAATGTGAAAATGTAGTAACTATTGTATTGTCATTGCCGTACAATGAAGTGAACATGCTATGGTGTTGAACAGGAGGATTTTTACAACAAAGCAACTTTCAACTTGTCTAGAAAATCAGTTGTGGCTCGTGTGGCTGAGTTTGCAGCTAAGGCAGTAGGGAGCTCATTATATGATGAAATTAAATCTGGATTTAGCAACACTGCTTCTGATCGGGCAACAAGGTTTTCCTTCAAGGTATAAGAAACACTACTCTGTATCTTTTATGGTCCATTTCATGTTGGATCTTATTTTTATTAGGTCATCGATATAGGATATATATAACAATACAACAAAACATGTACTATCGTATATATTTAGGTCTATCATTGTATGACCTTTTAACAAGAATTTATGTCATAACATGATATAAGAATACATCAAGCTCAGTCGAGCATACCAGTGAAATGTAAAAACATGAACAACATGATCTTTTGTTTTTTCTTTTCTTACCTGTAATTATTTGTGCTAGTTCACTGAACATTTTGTTTTGGTATACAGTATGGTTGTGTCAAAGGGGTTTATGGGACACCTTTTTTCTTTCTCAATGGCTTTCCATTGCCTGATGCTGGCTCAGCTTTAACGTATGAAGATTGGAGAGGCATCATTGACCCACTGGTCAGGGAATCGGAGACGACGGTGAAACCTTCACATTTCTTATTGTGAAATCACTGAATTGTTTATGTTCTTATTGTGCATCCATCCTTTCTCATGCACTTGTTCTATATATCTTCTGAAGTGGTTGTTTTTTGTTTTGTGAATTGTGATGAAGTTAAAGTTTATGGTAAATGGGCAATATAATCTAAAAAACAGTCAATTGCTGTAAAGTGTTGGAGAAATGAATACCCACATGATCTCATTAATAAAAAATGTGGAGCTTTTTAGCCGTGTTTTAAAACATGTCCAGCTCAACCGGTTGGGCCGGTAACTGTAGATAGATCTCTGTAGGGTCAGCCGGTCGGATGTTGGAATGTTAAATAGCCTCGTCTGTTTCGTTTATAGTAATTGTTAGGGGTGGACTCGGGCCGGGCCAACCGGCCCGGAACCGGAGCGGCCCGCCACTGTGCGGGCCCGGACCGGCCCGGGAACCGGTTCGTTGGGCGGTTCGGGCCACCCGGCCCGGTGGATTCTCGGTTCGGGCTCGGGCCCTTCAAAAGGTGAACTGGCCCGGCCGGTTCGGGCCCGGGCCGGGCCAATTTTATTTTTTTTTTGATTTTTTTTTTTGAGTTTTTGGGTTGGGCTGGTTATTTTGGGCCATTTGAGGTGGTTAGGGACTTAGGCCCGAGGCCTCCCCTTTCATGAATCGAGGCCCGGCCCGGCCCGGATCCGGGGTTACCCGGACCGGTTCCGGGCCTCCCCTTTCATGAATCGAGGCTCGGCCGGGCTCAGGCCCGAACCGGGTCCGAACCGAAACCGGTCCATCCCTATATATTGGTATACGGATTTCTTTTTTTTTCCTTTTGTTTTTAAAAAATGTTAATAACTTTTTTATTTTTGATCCGATTTTTTATAAAATTTATATCAATATTTTTTTATTTTTCACGATCTTTCGAATGAGATCAATATTTCTTATGTAATTTTAAGAAATTATCGAACTATTATATTAATGAGTATTGGATTATAAGGAAAATCGAACTAAATTTAATACAGAAAAATAATTGTGTAAATCACAATTTATCTTAAAATTGTGCATATAAAAAATTTATTTTATTATGTATTTATACACGTGAGTTACATATTTTTATACGTAAAGTTACATATTTGTACACGTAAAGTTACATATTTATACACACGAGTTGCATTTGGCCTGTCTGAACGCGAGTTACATATTTTTACACGTAAAGTTACATATTTATACACGTGAGTTACATATTTATACACACGAGTTGTATTTGACCTGTCTGAACGCGAATTACATATTTTTACACGTAATGACGTAAAGTTATATATTTTTACACGTAGAGTTACATATTTATACACACGAGTTGCATTTGGCCTGACTGCACGTGAGTTACATATTTCTACACATAAAATTACATATTTTACATAGGTTAATGTAATAGTTCGATAATATGTTAAAATTACATAGTTAATATTGGTATTACTTGAAAGATTATGAAAAACAAAAAATGTTGATATAAATTTTATAATAATCGGATCAAAAATAAAAAAGTTATTACCATTTTTTTAAAAAGAAAAAAAAATACCCAATGGGTGCATGGTGCTGCACTCGAATTTCATAAGATTTTAAAGGATTAAGATTTTATTGGATTTGTATGACATTCTAATGAAATTCATAGAATTTGAAATCGCCTCGCATTCTTAGCAGTCCTGCTTCCACAGCAATCGGACTGATTGATTCTCAGCAATCGGACTGATTGATTCTCAGCAATCGGACTTCCACAACTGAATAATTTCCGACTTAAACTGCTTCAACAATTTTCAATGGATCGGCAACCTAGGTGTCATCCTCCACTAAAGGTGAGACCGTGAGGTTGAGATGATTTGAAAGACAAAATGAAGAAAAAAACGATATGCTAGATACTTGAAGAACATGATAAGAGAGGGAAGAAATAGATTCTGCGAAAGTAAAAAAAAAAATTAGACTCACCGACAATGAGAGAATTGCAAGGCATGGTCCAACGAAGGTGGTTGAAGAGAGGAATGAACCACAGGCGATCCTAATCCACGGGAGAGTTGTCATTCGTAGGTTCTAAAAATGTTATAGATTTTTAAATCCGAGTGGGGTTGAAGAAACTTTGGATGAAATGTAAAAGGGTCAAATAGGTCCCTTACTATTACGAAATTATCAATTAAGCCCACGAACTCAAATAACACCAATTTAAACCCATGAATAGTTTTTTTTACCCTGGAAGGTCAACCACCAAAATCAGTGGGGTAAATGTCGGGGAGCATTTACCAGATATACTTCCTCCGTTCCATAAAAGTCGCAACATTGGAATTTCTGCACTATTCACACACCTTACATTGACTATGATTTTCTAATAATATATATAATAAAAATATTATGCAAAAAATATTAATAAATTTGTATTAATATAAATTTTCAATATATTAACTTTTTTTAGTGTTTACTAATACGTAAATAAATATAATTACAGTCCAAGTTATGCGTTGACAAACGTAAAAGTCAAACTGTTGCAACTTTTATGGAACGGAGGATAGTATTAAGAAAGAAAACAAAGTTACATGAGGAAAGGGGACCAAACCAAAACCTTTCCCTAAACCGATTACAGAGATCAATACCAAATGTAAGGAAATGACACATTGTCCAATTCTAACACACCTCGCAAGCTTCCAGGCATAGAATCACCCCTGCTCCAAAAATAATTGTGCACAACGCCCAATTGGGCCACCTGAATTGCTGCCCTGTTAGAACTCGCTGGAATAGGCCCAAGACAAACATCCAAGCCCATCTGACCTGCTATATACGCGCACCTGTCCATCATTTCCGTAAATCCCAGCTCAATGTCCAGGTGCCGGTAGCTAAGATCATTCACCCAGTTTACAGCCTTTTCGAAAACTTCCAGCAGCACCTCTTCATCTTCCCCTGACCGTCCACTCAACGGATAGCCTAACATTTCCACCACCTCAACGGATTTAGCACTGAACACCCCATCATCGCAAATTATACACGCAGTTTGCCCCCTCCCCCTTTTTTTTTGCTTTTGTTGTTAAAAAATGATAATAACTTTTTTATTTTTGATCCGATTTTTATAAAATTTATATCAACATTTTTTATTTTTCATGATCTTTCAAATGAGACCAATATTGCTTATGTAATTTTAAGAAATTATCGAACTATTATATTAATGAGTATTGGATTATAAGGAAAATCGAATCTGTTTGGGAGATGATAGGTTTGTGAAATAGAAGATCGAATCTGTTTGGGAGTGGATCAGTGGCCTCAGTTACATTTGATAATACACTGAGTTACATCTTTTTATGAGCGAGTTACATCCTTTTATAAGCAAGTTACATCTTTTTAAAAGCGAGTTACATATATATAAACACGAGTTGCATTTGACATGCATGAACGCGACTTACATATATTTACACGTAAAGTTACATATTTTTACACGTTAAGTTACATATTTATACACACGAGTTACATATTTATACACACGAGTTGCATTTGACCTATCTGAACGCAAGTTACATATTTTTTTACGTAAAGTTACATATTGTTACACGTAGAGATACATATTTATACACACGAGTTGCATTTGACTTGACTGAACGTGAGTTACATATTTTAACACTTAAAGTTACATATTTTACACACAAATGTTAATATGTTAAAATTACATAGGCAATATTGGTCTCATTTGAAAGATCATGAAAAATAAAAAATGTTGATATAAATTTTATAAAAATCGGATCAAAAATAAAAAAGTTATTACAATTTTTAAAAAACAAAAGGAAAAAAAAAATACAAACCGTCCCGGTATACGGTGCTCACCGTATACCGGTTGCACGGTATACGCACTCCCCCATCATTAGTATGCTTCCACCGGATAGAGGATGGACCTCTATCCACCATACCCATGAATAATTAAAAATGAGGTAAATCATCTTTTTAGCAGGTGCCCTTCCGGTAGGCATGGACCGGTTCGGGCCTGGGCTCAGCCGGGCCTCGATTCAAGAAGGGGAGGCCTGGAACCGACCCGGGTAACCCCAGGTCCGGGCCGGGCCTCGGACTATTTTTTTTTTTTTTGCTTTTCCTAGTTAACCCCCAACCCTCTCCCTCACCCCAAACCAACCCTAACCACCGGCTCAAAATCCCCAGCCCAACCCAAAAACTTAAAAAAAATTCAAAAAATTCAAAAAAAAATGGCCCGAACCTGCCGAGCCGGTTCACCTTTTGAAGGGCCCGAGCCCGAACCCCCATCCCACCGGGCCGGGCCCGAACCGGGCCCGGAACCGGTTCACCGGGCCGGTTGGCCCGGCCCGAGTCCACCCCTACCTTCCGGTTCCCGGTTAAGTTGCGTGTGTGGCGTATGATTTGGCATAAATTTTCATTTCCTTTTTCTTTTTCATTTTTTTCTTCTTCCTTTTCCTTCTTTCTCTCCAGCGCCCATTCTTCTTCCCTGTGTGACCTGGGTCTACAACTTCCTTTCTTCTCCTTTTCTTTATCTTTTCTCTTCTTCCTTCTCTCTCCCAGGTTTTCTGCCAGTCCTTTTCCATCTGTTCACCTGGTTCTTCGCTCTCACTTTGTCTTCATTCCAGGTCTTCTTTGCAATTGGAATTCCAAATCAACGTCTCCTCTTGGCCGACGACTCCGACGGGCAACAAGGGTCGGCGAGCTCCTACAACAACTCAAACCTCCAGGTCGGCGATGAGTACAAGGCGGGTTCTGTGACGTCAAGAGGCGACGGATTCTAGATCTCTGACGTCACCCGACTGTTAGGAAATTGATGTAACGTACCTCGAAAGTACGGCAACGGAAGTTTAAAATTTTCCCAAACATATCTTTCCTGATTATGACAAAACAACGAATATGACAATAATAGTAGATCTGAGTTAGAACTTACAGATCTTCCAGCCTAGCAGTGATAATCCTTGACCTTAGGTATCCACGTGATTTCTCCTTCCCGAAAGAACGGTTAGATCTCCCTAAGAGAAAGGCTAGGAAATCTCTTCGCAGGGAAATAAACTGGTAATACTGAATCTGAAAACTGGTCTATAAATTATGAAGGAGAAGGATGTATTTATACTAGTTCGAAACTAGTTTTCCAATCACAATGAAAGTCTTTCTAATTAATGAGTTCTAATCCTACTAGGACCAATACTCCTAATTAATTAAATAAGTAGATAAAACAAAACAAAATAATAATAATAATAATAATTGAAATGTGGCTGCACGCCACTTTCTAATT